AATTATCTGACAAGTTATTTGTGTGGTGCTGTAAGCACGGCCAGATCACACACAGTAACAAAGAGTATGTTTGCGTCAGACGTGTTAGGATATCAAAGATAATACACAAACACACACATACTATGTTGCCACAGTATATGGATCCATATTCTGATTTGGCACAGGTTTCCTGCCAGATCCCCTTCCTGACACAGTCCTCCCATTTATCCAGGCTTGGATAGTCAGATAAATGTGTTATCCTCCAAACCATTGTTTCCATGGCTTTATGCGATTGTCTTTGTGGATTCCCTTCTTCTCTTTTAATTACAGTCAAGACCATTGTTTGTTATTTCAGATGCTATTCTTTCTGTTAGTATTTGTGCATCTGTAGTCCCACATGGGATATATGGTCACCCTAAACACATCCCCTCAAGATGTTTATGTTTAGATTTTGGTGTTTGACATTTTAATATTTTATCAGTCTGTTACTTAACACTTATTTAAAGGTACAGCTGAGTATTTCCCAGGTGCTGTTAAACAGCTTGAATCTCTCAAGCTCCAAGAATATTCACTGTTCGCTTTGGTCTTCTGGATGTAGTTCTTGTCCAGAAACGTATATTTTTGGTCCTTGTTGTGTTTGCAGACAAAGTGAAAACTCAGTGTTTTGCTGACTGCTTGAGGTTTCATTTCAAAAAATATTCAAAAATATCCTTTTTGCTGAAAGATTTCTTCGACCTTGACAAGATTTCCATTTCCAGAATCACTAAAAGCTGAAAGCACATCATTGCACAGCAGTGGTTTCTGCTATGGCTCTATAAAAAGGTCAGTGTTTGAGCGGGCGAATACTATCGACCCTTGCAAATGTTATCTGATAACTTTATTAAAAAGAAAACATCATTGTTGGGCCCAAAATGCTAATTTTAATGCCTCAAAATGCAGATTTGAGACACCAATCAGTGACGTGATATGAGAGAAAGTGTCTCAGTTTAAGCACTGCGCACAAAGCTTTCCGCTCCTTCTTTGCTACACATAAACATCCGCTTGCAATTTTAGTCTCTGGCTGCCCAGTCACAGCCACATAGATGCCTACGGCTAACCATAACATTTTCAAACAGATGTTGCTTTTCCTCATGCGTGTCCGTCTCCACTTTGCACGTGCTGGGGTTCTGTTTTTTGGACAGCTATGGTATGTGCCTGCCCCAGAGTGTGCCAAAGGAACTTAGATTGTAAGGGAAGCCCAACTGGCATTGCTATATTTTTTCAAATCATATATCTATTGTTACAGTGGTGGATCCTCATAGTAAATGTGGTCAAAGTTTCATATAATGAGGTCAAACTTTGTACAAGTAATTCCTGTGGCCCAAAAGCTGCACACTGCACACTCTAATAGGTCTGTTTCTGAGGCTTTTCCTGCTCGTCGGTCTGTTTGAGGTCACAGAGAGCTAAAGAACTAACATGGCCGTCTCACACACAGCTCTGACTGGGAGCACAGAAGCCCCACCCGCCTGATCAGAAGAAAATGGCTTGAAGTGAAGCAGAAGCTAAAACAGCTGATTTCAGACTTTGTGTGAACTGCCAGAACCATTCAAATAATAATTAAGATTATTCTGAACTGACTGTCATGAAATGAACGTTCTAGATCGCCTATGAAATGTGAAATATATGTCCTTACTTAGTTGCTTGTACTTAATGTGTCAATAAAAGTCTTTGTCAGCCTTAGCCCCCGGTGCAAGTTACCATACTGGGTACGTCTGTGGTGTTAAACCCGTTTTAACTGTAAGGTAAGCACTGTGGGTCGCAGCCTACAGAAAGAGGCTTTGTGAGCTGGCTGTCTGGCCTGCGGATGGAGTGGTGGGGGAGGGATGGATGGATGGAGCGAGTTCAGGGGGAGGTTGGCCACAGGGCGTCAGTTGTGGAATTCCAGGAATGGAAGTTGAACTGGATTTCAGATTTTGCATTTGGACGGGGAGTCGACTGCAGAGGTGATAGACCTGAGGCTGAGGGAGAGCACAGAGATCACGTGTACGTGAGCGCCAGGGCCGGACGCGATGAAGCGGCAATAGCAGTGCTCGTATTGTGCCTGAATACAAAGAGAGTAGCAAGGCGTTACTCTTATGGCGTCCTAAGTGAGCTGTACAGGATGTGACACACACACGCCCAGGTTGGGTTCATCCTATATATAACATCATGAAGCAAACACACACTTACTCGAATGCTCTGATACGCAGCAGTTAATGTGTTTAAGCCTTTGTATACACTGTTATGTCTGGTGTGTGCGTAAAAGTCCGTGTGCGTGTCGACTCCAGCTGTAGCCTACAGTATACATGGCCTGTAATTAACATGGCGTGTTCAGCCAGATGCTATATCTGTCATTGAGAGAGGCACATGTGGTCGGTCGTTTGTGGTACAGCCGAGGATCTATATAGGGAAGAGAAAGACTGCATTTGTGTGTGATATGCATTGACATTTATTCATGTCTGCTCTTCATCGCAATGCGCTTTTTCCTGGAGTAAAAGTAATCCTTAAAAGTAATGCTTCTGAGGTTCACGGGGACAGCAGCAGTAGGTGAAGAAAAGTTTGCTGCATCTGTGTTATTGTTGGATTCATCACAGTTTGTCAGTTTTATCAGGACAAAATAGATCTTCAAAAACCAGATGTGCAAAAGCTCTACCTCAACTGTCCAAATACTGAGTTGAATACACCCACAGCCTTTTTCCAGATGTGGACACGCAGTGACATAATCCTATAAATTCTTCTTCCTAGAATCCGCTTCTGTGAAATGTTGTTCAAATGTCAGGTGGAACAGCGGTTGTGTAAAAGGCCTCGCTTCCACTTTGGTCCAGAAAACGTTGCGCGGTGGAAACAGTGTGGGTGTCTGGCAGGGTGTGGCTTCCCGGATTTGGCTTGAGATTGGTCCACTTCTTCTGGTCTCTACAAGTGAACAGAAGCAGGGGAAAACTGGAGCTCAGCCATGCCTGTCTCCAGGCTAAAAACAGATGTCGCTCTTCACTGCGGTTTCCATCAAGTTTGGATATGGCAGCTACTAATTTAAGTGCTAATTTGTTGATTTCTACGGAGTAACATAAGACAAGGAGCTATTCACAGCGCATAGCTGGCACCGTGATGTGACACGGCTGCAAATAGAATGATACTTTATTAGACTTTTAAAGGAAGAAATCATTTTTGATCAACATAAAAGCAACTGATACATTTTCCTCAAAAAATATAAAAATTGTAATAATTGTAAAACATATTTTACATATATCATACACATAATGTTAATGCGAATATAAACAATAGGG